AGAGACACACAACAACTACAGAGAGACACAAGAACAAGCAGCTCTGTGCACGTCTTCAACTGCATCTTTGAGTTTCTGAAGTTTCTGCAGTGACACAATAATAATAATGAGCAAAAAACAAACACACAACAAATTATCAGAACGATGGTGTCACAGTTTACAGATCAGCTGATCTCATCTGCAGCGCGCACACACACACACACACACACACACACACACACACACACACACAAACGATGAGAAAATCTCCTTTGAAATCTGTTTCGACAGAAAGTTTTTAATGAATCACAAAAGAAATCTGATAATTATGCACAAACCCTAAAACCAGAGCCGCTCTGTGAAATCTCCAAGGTACAATTTTGAGTCCACAAAGACACGAGAAGCAACAGTGACGGAGACGAGAGTGAATGAAGCACGAGAGGAAGCCGGAGTAAAAATAATGAGTCTCAGAGGGAGCGGCTCACATCAAAGTGGACGAAGACACGTTGTCTCACGATGACCTGGACGCCAACCAGGCTGCCGTCATGTGACCACACAGATCCACAGACCAGGTCCCCTGAAGAACTGATGCTGCTCACACTGTGTTTACATCAGGTTCAGTGATCGTCACCTGTTTGATCGAGGACAGAACGTCCAGCGACAAACATTCACAGATTTACTCACCTGGACGAGGACGAAGCTGCAGGAGAGAACAAGCGAAGATTCTACAAAACACAAAGAGTCACTCTCTTATTCATGTATCAATACACAAACATACATGTTCGATTCTAATCTAACACAATGAGCCTGAACAGAAAACTCATTACAAAACGTTCAAAGCTGTGAAACAAACAGGAAACGAGGAATGACTGAAACGTGCACAGGTGGCCTCTCTGATCCACACGACATCGCTCACCTGCGGACGCAGATCAGATCCCGACTGAGAGGAACGAACTGAACAGCACAGAGAAACACCAGCTGTACGATAACGTGTCCAGAGGCTGTTCATCTGGAAACGTCTGACACTTCATGAAACTTCCTGAAGTGAAGATTGAAAACTTTGCAGTAATCACCGACATTTGTTTGGACAGGGATCAGCTCAGCTTGTGAACAATCTCAGTTTAAATAAACCCATCAGGACTCAATTCAACGTTGAAGCCAACAACAGATTCATGAAACAATAACTTTGAATCTTTGAGAAGATGGAACGTGAAACATGTTTGTTAATCTCATCTGACCGAGCAGCAGACTGATGGACTGAAGAAATGAAACTCAGAGACAAACAGAAAGTTTTCATCCTCCTCATGTGACGGAGGACTGAGAAGAACAAATCGATGAAGTCTCACATTTCAGCAGCTTTGTTGTGATTCATTAAAAAACAAGTGGAGCAACAGAGATTTAAATTTAAAGCTGCTGCTGCGCTGATTATCCATCAACTGCTCGACCAATCGTGCATCTTCAATTCTGCAAGCCCCACCCCCAAAGGTTCCTGTACCCGTCTTTTTCAAACCACGTAACCGTCACAGTCCACATGCTACATGTTAGCATTGTTAAGCAAAACCTCCACCAGAGGGCAGCGCCCCGTGACTTAGAGGCACTGCTCTGTTTGTCTGTCTCCGTCAAGTTTCAGGAGACGTGAACAGACGGACAAACTGAACGCAGAGTGCAGACAGAAGGCGTCGTCCGCTTCCAAATACAAATTTAACGTTGAGCACCGAGAGCCAACAGATTCCCAGGACTGATTTCAGACCCTGGTTCCTGTGGGGGGGGGGGGTCCTGCCAAGGCTCCTGGTTCTTGGGGAAAGTTTCTGCAGTGGAAACATTAACATATAAAACTGTTCATAAGAGTCTCAACACGGAGTGAACACTGGAATTAAAGACACACGATCCTCCAGCTTCTCTCTGCAGCAGCAGACTCTCAGCTCGGTTCGGTTCCAAACGTGGAAAACTGTAAAACACAAAAAGAAACGAATCCATCGGGGTTTAAAGGACAGAAGCTGCCGTGGCCTTGTTCTGATTATTGTCAGCGTCGCTCTGCCCTGAAGGTTTGTATCATGTTACACTGGAGATCAGAGATGGAAGAGGAGAGGAGATATGGAAGAAACAAGGGGGGGAAACAATCTCAGGTTCTCTCGTCCATTTGGCATGCATGGGTGGAGAGAGAGTGTGTGTGGGAGGACGAGATGCAGAGGGAGAATAAGAAGAGGAGGATGAAGGATGGGGGGGTAGTTTTTTTTTTTAATGAGTGATTCCTTCACCCCGGGAGTCCGACCAAAGGAGAGGAAAAAAAACAGGAGGAACAAAGGTTGAGGAGGAGGGATGAGGAAGAAGGGGGGG